TGTGATCTAGTGAGAGATGTCCCTGTCCATGGCAGATAGGTGGACTAGATGGCCTTTAAAGATCCCTTCCAATACAAACCCTTCAGTGATTCAATGACTCTATGAATCCAGATTGCTTGGCAAGTAAATATATGTGTGTTTTTGCTGGAAATTATTATCCTTTGTACTTGAAATCCCTGCTTTATATCATCTAGCAAAGTTCCTATTTGACTTGTTTTGATCCAGTGGGGAGTTACAACATCTTCTGAACTCAAGCTTCTTAACTGAGAGCTCAGAAATGTTCAGGTGATTTACACAATGCACCTACACCTGGCCTCCAAACAGCTCCACAGGCTCCACCGACTGTTTTAATGAGCAAGAGGAACTGTTACGCTGATGACAGCAGGAGCTCTAGCATTCAGCTCCCATGTACGTGTGCATATTTTAGGCACCTAAATAACCTGTGCCTGGAGCTGAGTATCAGTGTACGTGCTTAGCTTAGGACAAAGGATTTTGAGGGGGTGGTTCAGAGCACCCATTAAGTGGGTAAGGAATCTCTGCTGCTGAAATCAGATGCCTCCAGTGAGATGGTATTTCTATGGGGGAGTAAAAGGGAAGAGGAGGAAGACAGAGAAGAAAGCAGGAATGGAGCTGTTGTACAGGGCCTTGGGTTATTGTGAAACAGCTGGTCATGACAAATATTTGTGAGGTGATGTATTACAAGTCAGATACGTTTCAATTAAAAGACAGTGTAGGCAAAGGTAAGCTAATAAGTAAGATTTAAACAAAAAAATCAATAGAGGAAACTGATGAAGTGTAGGAAATACATGTAATTAACAAAGACAGCTGATCTCAGGATTTGGTGGTGAATTTTAACCAAAGGTGTGGAAAGTATCTTAGACTTCTATTTCAAGAAAGAAGAGAGAAAAACAGGTAGAATAGGACTACAAACATAAAGGCATGAATAATGCAAGGGTAAAGGATCCTAAGAAGAAGCAGGGAACAAAGACAGAAAAATGGAAAAATGGAAACAAAAAAAAAAAAAGATTCAAACAATCTTCAAAGATTGTTAGAAAAGGATGAAAGCTTCACTGGGTATGTCAAAATGAAGACATAAGGAAGTTGAGCATTCTGGGGTGGACATTAGAGCTATTAAAATAACTTTCTTTCCAAAACCTAAGTGAATGTGTTGCCTCTGTTTTCAAGAACTTAGGGAGAAAGGCAATGGTTAATGAAAATGAGCGTCTACATGGAGCCCAGGTGCTTACATGTATGAAATGATGAACAGATAACCTCCATCACAGGACTTTAAAAGAACTCTCAAATGACACTATGATTGTTAGTAAAGTTTTTCAATAAAATTCTTGAGTTAGAGGTGATATTACAGAAATGGAGAATAGCAAAGGTAATACCCATGTTTTAGAAATGTGAAAAACGTGATATGGGAAGCCATAGGCTTGTTAACTTGATCTTGATACACCTCAGGTCTTAGAATGCAATAAAAGGACGTGGATAACATGTAAATGACAGAAATGCATCTTACCAGACTAAACTGACCTTTCCTTGACAGGATAATTCATTTTCTGAGACAAAGGAAATTAAGTAAATTATAACTATATAAACTTAGTGGAGTATTTGAGAGAGGGCTACGTGGACAATTATTAGGTGAGTTGGAGAAGGGGATGAGCAGAAGAAAAGTTATACAGAACTGGCTAAAGATAAGATGAAAATGGAGTTAATATTGAAAATAGAGGCATTATAAGAAAGAAATTCTCTCTGATTTGGCTGGTGATTTAAATAATTTTTGCCAATACAGAGAGGACTCAGAATACCTTAATGAAATGGAATGTAATTCAAGAATACTTAGGATCTAATAACAAGGGTTTCAGCCATCAGATTAGAGCTTTTCTGAAGTGAATGGCTGAGAAATAGACCAGGTGACTAAAAGCCACTGAAATGAAGAAGCCATGGAAAGGCAAATGTGATCTTAAAAATATTGGAAAGGTATGTCAAAAAAAAAAAAAAAAAAAAAAAAAAAAGAAAAGAAATTATGCCATTATAAAAGATATCAGTGAAATTTTAAGTGTAGTATTACCAGGCTGCCTTAGAGAACATTAAACTTGTTTGCTCAATCAAAGGTGGTGTCACTCACCTCAATTTTCTTCACGTGACTCAAATTCACCCCTTTGCACACACGTTCCCTACCAGCACCACCATGTGAGAGCCGGTCACCTTTGCCCCACCTGTGAATTGTGCATAGTTTTATATCCTGCTTACCAAGTGTGACCTGACTGTGTAATGGCAAATCATAGCTGTGGAGTGATTCTACAAGTACGCATCATAACCGTGACTGCAGTGAAAGTTATTTTAAAAGTGTCCCTGCCTCCCTTATTCATTGCAGTACAAGGGTGGGAGTGCAGATTACAGTACAACTGAGGCACGCTAGCAGCTCTGGGCTTGGCTGTCTCTTCAGGCTTTTGCCCTTCTCTTTTTCTCTTGCTCACCCATCATACCCTCATACGACATTGCAGGGAAAAAAAAAATCCACCTTGTCTGTTTGACGTAATGATATATCATCACAAAACCATCCTAAAGTCTTTGCTAGCAGTTAATGGCAGGCACAAAGTTTTGGGTAGAGGTGAATCACGGAAGGTTTATCTACACAGGTCTGGATTCCTGGTACACCAGGCTTCCCAAAACAAAAAGCATTAGAATAGAAGCCAAGAGCAAAACTTGGCAAAGTCTAGCTACAAGGAACACGGGCCCCTGCTAAGAGGTGGAGAGCTGTCTCTTGGAAACCTTGATGAGCTCCAATTGCCCAGTACGTGGTAAGGAGAGCTGAAAACATAATTCTAGCTTGCATGGTGAGTGATGAGTAAGGGACATGATTTCCCACTGTGAAAGTATATCTAGTGCCGGTAGTCACAATTTCAGAGTAGATGTCATAAGGGAGGAGATGATAAAGCAATAAAAGGTGACTCAAGGGATGGGAAAAATGCCTGCAAATGAAAGTCTGAAAGAGCTCACGTTTGGTTAGTTTAGCAAAGAAAGGACTAGGAAATGAGTGTATTAGAATATGCAATTGCATGGAGGGAAAAAGCCCAGAGTGTGAGAGGTGCTTCTGTCTAGCTGTGACACAAGGTTGGAACTGATGCCTGAGAGAAGTGCAGGTCCCTGCCCCCGGAGCCAGAGTAAATGGGTGATCCAGTGTGTGTGGTGCAGAGGTGGACAGACTGTGTGGTCTGATAGTTCTTCTGGATCCTAAATCCTGTGAATCTTTGAGTTGTGCTGCAAAGATCTTTCTCCATTCAGGGTACCTGTCCCTCACCAGAAGACATAAGCAAAAGTCCTTGGGGAGGCTTTCCACTGACAACAGTGGCTGTGGGCCAGGGCCACAGCATTGTAGTGATATGCAGAGGGAATACTACTTAGAGAAGTATTAAATAGTAATGGCCTGAAAAGTGTCTGTGATTGTATGGCTGTGAAATTTAGAAAGTGAAAGGCAGGTCCATACTATCTTTCCAACCAAGAAGGACTTGGAAAACCACATCCCATCTATTACAGACAGATGGGTGGCATGCTGGGACTGCTGACAAGACTGTGAGCAGCTCTGGGAGAATTAGCTCTTCAGGTTAATTTTCTGGCAGGCAGCTTAGGACCAATTTCTTCTTTACATTACCTTTGATCTATGATTTATTATACTTTATTTTATTTATTTTCTGAGGCTTAACTCACTGCATTGCCATTTCCTCAGGTAAAACCTTGTGGGCTCTGCTGTGCTGCAGAGATGTGCTTCGCCTCTCAGCCCTTGCACAAAGCCCTAAGGTCAAAGCAGTTGTGATCTCCTCACTGGGACTGACTTGCTAATTATCAACTTCAATTTCATGCACTGTTTTTATCCATTTAGCTTCTTAAAGAAAGGCTTTCATGCTGTATTTTGACAGAAAATTCCAGTTCATGCTCACCAGCTCTTCAAATATCCTTTGCCACAGGAGGGAAGATGCGTTTCTCAGGAGGATGAGAGACCTCTGTGTTGGGCTCTTACATTCTCTGTTAGGTGCTACTGCAGCAAGAGCACAGAGCATCTTTCACAGTCAGCGATTTGAAACCTGATTTAGGCCCTTCTGTCTGCTTTAGGTACTTCTATCTACTGTAGTACATATGTGCTGCATCTCATTTCATGGAAATGATGAGGATGAGGAGAGATGCAGGTGCAGATTTCTCCATTCAAGCCTTATTCTGCAGTGGGAGTGGCAAGTGGCATGCAGCCCTTGCCATGGTCAGTGGTGGGAGATGACAAAGGAGAATGTCATCTGGAGATGTCTCTCTCACCACAACCACTGTAGAGAGTTTAGGCCACTTTACTCTTAAATGGCATGCCAAATTTAGGCAATTTGTCTGGGTGTCAGATGTAAGGTTCATCCAAGGGTATGGAGAGAGACAGCATTAGGCTCCCAGTGCATCTCCACACCATAAATTGCACCAAAATTCCTTAGCAATTGCTTCTTTGGAGAGCATTTTAGGATAATCCATATGAGAAGACAGACTGATCAATCCTAAATGTCTAGATGCTTTAGCCCTGTTAGATGGTTGTACAAAGAACAGGAACTTGATTCTCTGCAGCACTCTGGTGAATGTGACCAAAAGAGATTACAGATAACCTCTGTCTATCAGCGATTACCATCCAGTCTTGCTTACCCTGGTTTTCCTCTGTTATGTCCCAGTTATGGATGAAGCTAGTTTGGAGCTGGGCTCTGCCTGCACATATGGCAAAATGACACCATCTCCACCATCTCTCTGGTGGATGGTCTTTACTGGGGGCTCTTTCTAAGGAAACTTCAAAGGGAAAACATGTTTTTGGTCCTTTTTGTCCCACACTGCAGAGGAAAGGGTCAGGCATCATAAATGAATTAACTCAATATCAAGACCTCTGTGCTTGTTTTGGTTGGTTGGCTTTTTTTTTTTTTTTTTTTTTTTTTTGCATGCGTGTGTTTGTTTTTTTTTGTGTGTGTGTGTATTTATTTTTTTTTTAACACAACCTCCAGCCTTCAGAGGCTTTACTAAATCCTCCTATTTCAGCTTCATTTCGAAGCAAAAGTAAGAGTCGTAGGGCTTACCTATGACCTAACCACTCAAAAGTGCAATTTCGTTTCCCTTAAAATTTAGACTAAACAGTTTCAAGACTCCAGAGAATTTACCTAAACTTTGCCAGGTCCTGAATTAATCATGTTTAAAAAAGGTAAATAATTTTTTTTACTAAAATGACTTCCCATCCTGGTGCCTCAAAGAGAGGTGCTACCATGTGCAGCTAAAAGCAGGGGCACAGTTGTTTTAGGACAGTACCCCACAGAGCACCTTTCTCCTCCCCACTGAGTAATGCTGTTTAGAGTCTATTGCTTTCTCATTTTCTGTGTACACTACCGAGGAGCAGAGGATGAATGAAAGGCAAAGCGTGATGAACTGCTCTTGCAGATGACAGCTGAAAACTGCAGTCAATCAACCACTGTCTGCCTTCCACCCGCATTTGCAGAGGGGGTTAATGAAACAAGAGTCGATCACGGTTGTCCTCTGGCGTGGAGCGCCTGCGTGCTGCAGCACAGCAGCTGTGGCTTGGAAAAGAAAGGGCTGAGGCTTTAACTGCCACCAGAAAACCTCCCTGACAAAATAAACACACAAGCAAAAAGGTGAGAGCTTAAACCCTGACACCGGTGACTCCTAGCTGTGTCTCAATAAGGAAGGCAGATTGTCTGGTGAGCACGTTATTCAGAAGTGGTATCAAGTATTGATTTATTTCCAAGAAACCTCAATTACATTGTTCAAAGTCTTGAAAAAGAAGGATGGCCTTGGAGTTATCAGCAATATAAAACTGGGCAGTAGATAACAAAACCCATCAGTGATTCTGAGCTGTTTTAATACACTTCTTGATGTGTTTCTCAGAAAACAATCATCACCAGATATGCTCTTTTAATCTAACTAACCAATGCTGTATGTTGACATCAACTTGTTCCATTACCTCCTCACATGGTTGAGGCTTTATGCTTCACTTATCTGAACAGATGAGCGGATAACCTCCACTTCCAGAGCATCCTTTGGATTTTTATGGTGTTTTGAATTAGCGATGCAAATCTAATTTTGCTGAAACAGACCTAGACTCCATTACTGAAGGAACAGTTTCTATTTGGATTAACAAGGCTGCATTGTGTCACTGCCTGATGTAAGGTGCAGAAGTGCCCAATTTATCAGAATATTAAACGCAAGAGCCTGTTGTGGTTTCTCTCTAGCCTACAGAATGTACATTTGCAGGTCTGCAGCTGAACTCCCTTCATCAAACACCTCATTACCTTGGCAAAGTGAGGGGAAATAGCAACTTAAATGCTTCAGGAATATACTGGTTATATATTAACCCATGGATCTGTAGCTGCAGGAATAGGACAAGCACCACAGCGTTTCTTTTGTTTAATAGAAAATCGAATCAGAACAAGAATTATACTCCCGTCCTCTTTGGGCTTATGACAGAAACGAGAAGAAGAACAATGTTGGAAAGGAGTTTAAACTATGCCTGTGCTGGTGCTACCCAGGAGCATTTCTGAGGTGTGTGCTCCCACGCCGTGCTGAAATGAGACACAGGCATGTGCCACCTGCCCCCTCCAGGGTCTGGTGTCCCCAGAGGGCATGTGAGCTGGACAGAAGCCCTGGCATATTCTGAAAAAGTGCCTCATCTGCACTTTCAATGGAATAAGATCCCTGCGTATACCACACACCACCCTACTGGTCAACGTAAACGCAGACCAAGAAATCAAGGTTTTCCTTCTGGCTAAGTAAAAAGCTTTCTGAGTGACCTTGTAGCATTACTGGATTCTTTGTAGCTGGTCTATTTTATGTAAACTGATAGGGATAACTTTTACCTATTTGGTAAACTTGTTTCACATAGAATGAACATTAGAAAATACAGCACCATACAACAGTAGGAGGATCACAGAATTAGATTTGGCCTTTTGCAAAAGTTGCCATCCCTTGGGAGGCTGTTGTCTTGCAGTTAGACCTTCACAGGTCTGTGGAAGCTCCTGTACGGGTAGCACAGCAGACTCTGAGTTTGTGGCTCCATTGCATGCTATGAGGCTCTGCTGTGTTCAGGATTGATATGCCTGCCACAACACCTAGGAAATAACAATGCAGTATGCTGCTGTGTGCAAACCCAGAGCTGCTATGCAAGATTTACCTTTCCAGAGAACTATAAACTTCAGTGAACTGTGTATCTTCTCCGTCTGTTGTTGTTTATGTGCCTATTGATTTATCTACCCATTCATCCACCCAAAAGTAACTCACAGCGAGAGACTTCTCAAAAGCTGTACAAGTGTTTCCATGCCCCTGTTTTGATTCTCCCAGGAGTTATTATTCTGGCACTTCACAAAGCTCCTTGTCAGTCTCTATAAAGTAAAGAACTTAATTGTGCAGAACAGATAGTTCTTTGCTGGTGGCACAAAGCCTACAATTATGAAGATGGACAAAAATTATTCACTATGCTGGGGTAAAGTTTGTGACATCAACAGTGGATTTTTCTTCCTCTGAAACAAAAGTTTCTGCATTTTGAATATGCGTCATCTTTTGCATGTACTGCTGGTCACCCACCTAACTTGGTTACAGGAGAATTACCACAGCAAACCATATGGGGTTGTAAACAACAGGAAGGAAAAAGGAACTTCTTGTTATAGAATTGATGGGAGTGGGTGTAGTTCAAGGACCTTTGCTGTTTCGAGTCTGCCCTACAGCAAACTTTATAGGGATGCAGGAGACAGAGGGGATTCCTAGAGATACCCAAATCCCACTTTGCATCTCTTAGAGGTTCTTCACCAGTGTAGAAACATGAGCATCCCAAGGAGCCCTGCACGTGCCAGAGAGCTTTGAAAACCTGACCTTGAATGTCCTTGGACATTCCATTGGACATGGAAGTCCTTAGACACATACAACTCCCACTGAAATGGGACTAAATGGGAGTTAGTAAGGTGATGAGGTGAACCTCTGGTGCCAGTTCCTCATCTTTACTGTCTGACTCAAAAAAGCACAGGGACATCAAACTGGGGCACTACCAGTTGCAAATCATTATGACAATTGCATTGGAAACCAAACCTTGAAGATATTATATGCTCATGCTGTTGAATGAAAAACTGTCTTAAAGCGGATGCAACTATTTTAGAGATGTCCCTAAACTGGATCTGGGCAGGTACAAGTTGCAAGCTGTATTTCTGTGAGTGCCACGGACATCTAAAACAAATATATTTGTAATCTGTGATTATCCTGAGAATATGAAGTTGGCATCCTGGCAGATCAGGCTTGACTACAGTAAGAAGCCACTGTCAGTGGAGGTTGAACCAAAAAGTCAGAAATTTCTGATTGAAGAAAGGTGCCCATGGAAAAGATGCAGTCTTTTTTGGGTAGTGGCTAAAGATGTATTTTATCCTTTGCCAGGTTTACTCTGTCTCACGACAGGGAGAGATTTCCCTCAGGACCAGCTTGCATTATGTAGAACTGATAAAGCATGCGCTGACTCCTCCTTTTTCTTGTACCTGATGTGATTCCATTTGTCCTTATCCTGGGCAGAGGTAGCACAAGCAGCAGCACAGCTTTTCTTCAGTCACTTGCCCTAAGTGCAAATGCCTGCATGACATAAAAGATCAGAGGAGTTAGACCATATATCATAATTTGCTCCCTGTCCTCAAGGTTCTGAAGAATAAATAAAAAAAATATGTTTTCTGAAACCATGACTCTTATCTCAAACACCCAAGATTAATTTCTCTGTTCCCTTCCTTCCTTCCCTACAGCCTTTTGGGCTCAACTGCCAGTAAAGTTTCTTATCTCGGTTCCTAAAACAGACCATATCTCCTCCCCTCCTCTTCTTTCTCACAGGCACCCACACACCTCCTTGGCAGGAAGCGCCAAAAGGGTTTTGCTCCCACCATGACTGGCAGAAGAATCGCATCATGTCATTTCTGGACTAAACTCTGTGCTGACCCAGCTTTGAGGATCTCCCGAGATCCCTTCCAACTGGGATCCTTCCGTGAGAGGATGATTCGCATGCTGTGAGGGGAAGCCCTGAGCCACTAACCAGCCTTCCCACGGTGAAGCAGCCACTTCACGAATCATCTGCAATCCAGCTATGGGTTTAACCTAAAATGTGCGTGCAGTTTTTTGCACACAGAAAGCACAGGCAGAGGTACAGCTGCCTAAAAACTGGTTTGGGGGAAGGCAGTATTGTCAGCCTGCTAGAAATCTTGCCTGGTGTCTTGTTCTGGTCAGGGTCTTTGAGCACTGGGAGAGCTGCCTCCATTGCAGCTATGAGATTGCTGTACCATGGGAAGACATGCAGGACTTCTCTGGAGTCACCTACGTGTGGATTTTACTGCAAGCCAAAAATCTGAGAGGGCACTGTGAGCTGTGGTACTCATGCTACAAAGCAATTAAAAGTGGCTGAGGGAACTGCTGCACTTGGAATCACTGTGCTTCCAAAGCCAGCAGAAACAAACCTGCAGAAGCCACTCACTCTGGGGAAGGGAAAGCACTGGAAACAAATAGCCTCAGGTTTGCTCTCCTACAGCTTAGAAGCAGGCTTCCTGTGAGATAAAGAAAACTGCTGTGGAGTTCAGGGTTTGTTCCTGACCTCCTTATACCTCCGGCTTCCCAGGGACTTCAGCAGTAACTTGCAGAAGGAGCCATCTCCTTTGTCAGGGCCCAGCAGCCTACGGCTGCATTAATTAACACATTCAACACTGAGGCAGTTCTCAATCACCTGTTCTGCTGATGGCGTAAGTACTAAGTCAGAAAGGCACCAAATTAGCTAAGTGGTTTCCTGTCATTTGAGGATGACCTGTGGCTCCCGCCCCAGTGAGAAAACACAGCATTCAGTAGGAGACTGAGAAACAAGGCTGTATCGAGCCATTTCCAAAGCCCTTTTAAATTCCTGTTAAGGTTTGGAATTGAGCAGCCAATTTAAATTCATCTCTTTTTGCCCATTGCTAATTTTATTTAAGCTGAAATACTTTAAAAAAACATTTAAATGGCATACAAGCAATAAATGTGCAGATGGTAGGTGGGCAGACAGATAATTTATGACCTAGAGCAAGCTATAAGCCATCTTTACCAGTTGTAAATGATGCCCTATGTGTTTCAGACCTTTGACACTTTAAACTCTAGTTAACATGAATGATGATTTAGCCCACAGTCCAATTCCACCCTGAAACAAAACATTTCCTTGATTAAAGGATTTCTTAGGGGAATATTTAATGTATCATATAACAGCAAAACCCTTTTACTTAGCAAATAATTCCAGATTTCCAAAACTTGCGCCAAACTGAGGCTGTTCTGGCAATTCCGTATCTGCTTCATAGGAACCATATTTCTCCTTTTTAACTAGATTCTTTAAAAGTAATAATAAACTATTGGAAATGCAAACAGTGTGTAGAATAAAAATATTCAGGCCTTTCTTGGAAATAAAAAGCCCATATAGGTAGTTGGACATACTTTCAGGTCTGTGGATACATGCTATTATTTCATGAAAACCAGGATATGCAGCACTGGAAGGGATCTCGAGATGTTTTCTGGGCTGAGTGTTCCTGGACAATGGGACATTTGTCATCGATAATAGACAAACTGTTTCTAGGATGGTCATGAGGGCATCTTACCCATTTCTTGGGATAAGGCCATCCAGGTAGGTGGTTGTAACAAACCACTAGGTAGCGTGGAAATAAATGTGTGATATTAAAGATGCTGGGAGTGTGGGAGGATAATGGGAAACTAGAAAGCATAGCATTGGAAACTTAATTGAGTGGATGACTGTAAGTGATAAGAGGGGGAGAAAAAGCCAGAGGCAACTCTCTTCTTGCTCATGACATTGTTGCGATGCCAGCTAAACCCACTGAAGGAGATGTCTGTATTACTATAGCCTTTCTCTTTTGAACATATTTTCGTTTGATATCCTCTTGCTTAGAGCTCAAGGTAGAAAAGAGTGACACAGGGCATTCAGACTGGTTTCTCCTTTAAGAGCCTGACCAGATTGCATTGATTTTCCTGCTCTGCTGATGTACCAGCGAGCAACTGCGTGTGGTGGGTTTGGCCTCTGTGCAATGGAAGAAAAGCTGTTCTCCAGTCCATCCTCTGTCACAGCTCTCCCATGATCTGCCTTATCTTTGCCCCCTGCTCCTGTGGGCTCTGCTTTAGTCACGTCTGCAGCTTCAATGCCAACTTCTCGAGGCTGGGAAACCAGCCCATGTCAGTGTGTTCTCCACAGGTCCCTCAATTTCCACATGGGATAATGGTACTTAGGTGCTGTCACTGGAAAGGGTGGCTCTGTGAACTGGTCCTACCTGTGAAGGAAGCATGATCAGCCGTGAGATATGCTACACATCCTATGCACAAGGACAGGACCAGTCACCATGAAAACAGACACAGCCAATTGCTCAAACCAGACACAAATGTTTTCTAACAACTGTCTCTTCTTTATTCTATTTGCTTTGCATTTACAAACTTCTGATGCCCTTTTTATTATTTTTAACCACAACCTATGTATATATAATTTAAGCATCTAATTCTACCTTCTTCTTTTTTTTTTTCTTTTGAAGAAGACTACGTTGATACCTAGGCCTAACTACTGAGTTTTTTGTTTGTTTTCTGAATTTATTTTCTTTTGGTGGCTTTTAATTGTAAGCCTCAGCCTGATTTATTCGTTTGTACTCCCTTTTCATTCTCTAACCTGGATATTTTCAGCCATTTCTTATTTTTTGCCCTCTTAATGTTTTCTGTTGCATCTATGCTTACTGATCTGAAGACTGCTGGTAGTGCAGCTGCATTTCCTAACTACCTTTCACAGACCATTTAGTATTAGTTTATGAGCCATGAGCTGCTGCACTGGCCTCTTCTCTCTGTTTTACCAAGAGCAAAATGTGACCCATTTGCACCTCAGATTGTGTTACAAAACACCATGGGAGCAGAGCTTTTCACAAAATTGCCCAAGGCATCCAAGAAGCAGTACAGAATAGTCTTACTTTTTTAATGTCATTTCCAATCAGTTTTGGTGTCATGAAGGTGTGGCCCACTTTAAACTGGCCACCAGTTATTTCGCTTAGACCCACAAGCTCTTGAAAAGCCCTGTTCACAGAAACCCCAGGATGGGAATGCAGAAGTTGGTGCTGGCACCTGGTAGATGTGCACCTTAAGGGGTGTTGGCAGTAGCTCTGTCCCTCACTCAGTCATGCTGGAAATGATGGCCAGTCTCTTGCCTTGTCCTCTTGATGACACAGCAAACCAGGAGGTGGAAAAGGCATCACCAGTCATAAGCCTGTGTTCACCATGCCCATCCTTAAGTGGCTGGCGGACGTGAGATGGCTCAGCTCAGCAGCTGCCCTGTGTTATCAGTGCCAAGTGGAAATGGATCCTAAAGCTTTTGTTAGCAGGCAGGCTTTCCCTCGGCCATGCCCCTTTAAATCAAAGCATTTGCAATTCAGTAAAAGCAACGGATAAGTACAATGAAAGCCAGGAGTTCCCTTCGATATGGAAATGTTTCCCCAAGTGACTCAAATTAAATTTCATAAAAAGAAATCCATAGTTCCATGAAATTTATAGATGCATTATAAAAAAAAAAAGTAGTATATTGCAGGTTGCTTGATTTACTGTTGATTCTTTGGGCAGCACTCAGCAGACCAAAGGAGGAATGTGATTTGGAAATGCACTGGAGGGGATTCAGCAGTATGCTGGCAGCATCAAGTTTCATCCAATTTGAGGGGATTTTCACTCTCCTTGGATACTGTAACTAGCTGGGCTTACTATCAAATTACATATTGCTGGATCTCCTGTAAATCTGAGAACTAGTGAAAATAAATGCAAATATAGTGACTTTTGCCTCATTTGTGCTCCCATTAAGCTTTCAGTTATTCTGACATAATTTGTTTCTTTTTTACTGTGTCTTTTTTATGGATTGTGTAAGAAGACTGAAGCTTCTACACAGCATAGGTACCAAGGTATGTGAAGAATACATATTGTGGACAAAAGGTCTTTAAGGATGGGTACTGTCGCAAGTTATGTCAACAAAAATGGTGCAGATTTTTGAACATTTCCTCTTCCCTTAAACCAAAATGGATGGAATAGTGGGCCTCATGATCTTACTATCACATTAATGTGTATGTATCTGTCCACCACCCTGAAGCAGACTTGTACTGGCCAGATTGAGTAGAGTGAGCAAGTGACCATCTTCACTTGTCCATGCTTTGTCTGTTCCTTGGATCTTTCTGTTCTTCCTTCCATTTTTCCTTACATCACATAGACAGGAAAATATTAGTGATTTGGAGGCAGCTGCAGCCACAGGAGCACTGGGTTTCTATTTCCCCTCTACAGGGTTCCCTAATGAACCTCAGATTTAGCTGGGCTCCTTGCTGCCTTTACTCCATTTTCATTAAAAAGCTGTCCTGCACTGTCGTCTGCAAACAGAAAATGAGAGATAAATTGCACTTTGGAGTTTTAAAGCACAAATGATCAGCTGAGGTGAACAGAGGCTATAAGCACATGGAGGCAAAGTACCAGGAAGGCTGTAAGATATGGCGAGACATGAAACCAGCAGTCTGCCTTTGCTAGAGAGAAAGGTTGGCTCCCACAAAGCCAGAGGAATCTTATCCTGGTAATCAGTTACAGCCGTGTTTGCTCAATGTAGTGTGCTAAAAACGTGCAAAAGCAAGCCCTGAAGCCTGCCACAGGAGATATCGATGAGCAGACACTTGAAAAGGCTGGGTGCTTGTTAATGTTTAACATGCGAGTCCTCATCTGACTCTGTGGTGTTGAGCTTTATTTGTTTAATCCCTAAATTCACCAAGGGAAATAGAATGCTGTCTATTAGCCTATGATAAATAAGTAAAGAGGAAGACCTGGAAGAGGTCTTGCCATATTTATTCTGCTTAATAATACAGGAGCCTGTTCTACACAGCTTTCCATTTATGAGATGAAGCAATATTTCACAGTGATTTAAGCAAATCCTCTTGCCTCAAACGTGATGGCAAAAGAGGTAAAATTTGTCTGTCCTGAGGTCTGCAACTGGATTTGAGAACTGTCTTCACATTACTGCTTCTGCCAGACTCATTTATGGCCAAAGCTGGGAACAAGAGGGGACACACCATTTTGAGCCAGAGTTAATTTAATTTTAGACGGGGACTCATAGCTCAAATCTAAGGACAAACCATGCCTTAATGGAATATTTGTGTGGGAAATTTGTAGCTTTTCTAGCTAATAATCAGGCTTCTGTCCTAATCCATGGAAAATACAGACTTATACCTTCTACTGAAAGCAATTTCTGTGGAATTCTGCTAGTTTGCTCTCCCGCTTTAGGCAGCACAGCAACGATACTGCCCATGTGGGATGACACGATAATCCTGGCAGACCAAGGCGTTTCTTCCAAACCAAGTTAGAAAAAAAGAACTTAACCAAGTCTACTGGAATAGGATCCAAAATGCTGTCTCCAGGTCTGAAAACTTACATAGGCTCAGATTTTTGGTCCATTTGAAGCCTCACTTTTACAGCCCTGCTCAGGCAGGATGAGTGTCACAGCTGTTCATTGCCAAGTTTCATCAAACCCATGTCAAAAGCTGGAGAGGAGGCCACCAGCTTCCTACAAATAGCCTTGCTTGGACACAGCCTGTGCTGCAGGACACAATCCTCTGAAAGCAGAACGGTGAATCCTCATCTCAGGCAAAGGGAGGATCCCTTATTCCTGATATCTGCCTTAACAGGGGTTATAAAAATTGCACTTAATGACGTTGGGGCTGCTATTTTTAGGCTACAGCACTAGGAGTTCTGGTAGGTTTGTTTAATACAGAACAGTCATTTCCTTTAACAGTCCATGCATGGTTTTACAATCTGACTGCCCATCCATACCTCAGCTAACAGTTTTTTTGGGGGTGGGGTGGGGGACGGAGTTGGGGGGTGTCACACTTTCATCTTTTCTAGCTGCCATGGTGATGGTAACACAAACACCTCCGAGGGATGAGTTACTTCCCTTGGAAGAAGAAGGTCTTACTGTACACACAAGGACTGCAGAAATCTTTAGCGTAATTTTGACCACATGGTAAGCTAGTTTGGTGGGTCATAAAGCAGAAAACCCTGTCTGGGGCCAAGGTCATGTCAGCTCCATCAAGGGAACATTTTATGTGATTCTCTTCCACTCTGAAGACCACATTTTGTTTCTCACTCAGGCCAAATCAGGGGTATAACTTATGAAGAGTATTTTGCAATCTAAATAGCTATTTATACATTAAGTAGAATATTTGCTGCCAAAAGGAGTTTCTCCCCAGATTCAGATCTAAACTACACTTGATTATATGCTTTCAGAAAAGCCTTCCAACCCTTTATCCTCCTGCTCATACTGTTTTCCACATAGGAGGGTGAGCAAAACATCTCAGTCCCTCCATGGAGGACCGATAGAAGTTTGCGCACACTATGAATGCAATTCCACATCTGGGGAAACTGGGGGAGACTGTGCAAAGAAATTGTTCAAAGCAAATATAGAAGATGATTGCCAGAGCCCAGAGAGGGCCCCAGTATGGCTGGGTGCTACCTGACCTGTACTCCACTCTCTTTAGCAGCAAATACATAATACAAAATGATGGTCTCCAAAGCTCAAACACAGGAAAAAAAGAAAATAATAATAATAATCTTGCTATGTCTGGCATTCTATTACAGTATGGGATATTTGGGGGTTTCTTCTGGAGATTTTGTATTATTTTTCTCTGTGAATGAATAGTTAGACTGTAGGGATATCTGGGAAAAAAAAAAAAGAAAGAAAAAAAGTGTTTACTGGAAATAAATATTCAGGATGGAGCCAAGAGAAAAGACCTTATATTATGAAGACAGGCAGCCTTTGCCATTGTAATTTAGAGTCAAACTGAGGTTGTTTTTAACTTATTCAGCATGTGAAGAGTTAATGCAATATGCTTTCAGATGCCTTCAGCTGCAGTCTCACCTCCTCCCTCTGGGTCCCTGCCCTGTATTCTTGCACTGCAACTAGGTGATGGAAGAGTCTGAAGGAAAACAGAAAGAGCAATATTATTAGCATTCGGAAAATGTAAGAATAAACTTTGCTCCCTGAGGGAATGACTTGAGTGACACAGTGGAAAAAAGCCTGGGGACATGTCTTCCTGCACCCTCTGCCTCCATTACCAGTGCAAAGATCCCTGGGTCTCCAATGGAATTAAGCCTGCATTGCCTGTTGCACAATCAGGGCATGCCTTGGTAAGATACTGATGATTAGATCTTTCTTAACCATGAATACGTACCCAAGTCTATCTGTTGTTGTTCAGGTACAGGGAATGAAGCTCACCCTGTGACCAGTTTGGCAGCAAATATTCTTTATTTTCCTTTGTAATTCTGAGGTTTATAATTTTATAATAAATACTTTTAAAACAAAAATCTAAAATGTGAGATTTTTATATCAGCTTCATGGGGAAGGAAAAATAAATGAAACAGGATACACACATGGATATACACAGAAATGTAGACTGTATATTACTAATATATTAACAATCTGTATAACTTTAATGGTAAATAAATACAGTAAGAATGAACAGGAAAGGTAAAGTGAAATGACTGCAAATGCTACTCAAAGGTTTAGAATATTTTGAAAGTAACTCTAAAGGTAGCTCCAAGAAGATTTCAGTTTGGCATTGAAGTATGTGTAAGTTTTCCTATATAGCTGGGAAAATGACAGTCAGAAGGTGGCTTTTTTAAACTTACTTGGCAAAAGTTTTAATAGCAACAGCTGTCCAAACATGCTGCAGGACTTCTCTACACAAAAATACAACATCTACTGAATTTTTGGATTGGGATTTTATTTACAAGCAAATCCTGTTGCCCTCACACTGCCTTCACATACTGCATTTTACAGACAGCTACATTTTTTGTTTCAAACAGCCTTGGGGTTTCTGTGAGGGAGAATGGCAAGAGTGAAACAGATAAGAGCATAATATATGTGCCAGTGCTCAACGTTACAGATCTTGTAGTGAGCATTAGTAACTGCTTTGTAAAGGTACACAAGAAAACTACTGTGGAGGGTGCAAAGCTCTTCAGAGCAGAGAAATAATTCCAAATTTGTATGCGTGAAAATATTTGAGAGCTGTGTTAGTGCAGCACCACTGTTTTCTGTCCCCAGCCTAACCACACCAAAGGCCACCTTCACCCTCAGTGCCTGCCCGGTGCTCCCCATCAGCTCTCATGGCACCAAGCCCAGAAAGCAGCAGCAACGTGTCCCAGTGCCAAGTTTCCCCTTCTCCAGTCAGCTCTCTTCTGCCATGTGTGACCAGTAATTTGGGGAAGGTGAGAGGGGCCAGGGCTTGTCTTTGATGGGGTCCTCACCCTTAGCTTTGCCAGTGGGAAACAGAAGGTACTGCCAGGTTGGTGGTAGCTAGCTCAGATGACCAAGTCGCAGGAGTACCACAGGATTTGTATGGATCTGCTGGATGGAAAGGGACAGAGTGGATCAGAGGCTGTGTCATTTCACAGATAGGTTTCCATGGTGTGACCTTTTTGCAGCATCACTCCAGTGATCCCTCCTTCATGTAGCAGCCCTCGTGTCTCCCTGCTGGAAATGCTCTGTCTCCCACAGCCTCCTGTGCAGTGGTCTGGGGAAATCATCCAAGGCATCTTTTTAGAAGAGCCGACTGATGTAGAGCTGTTCCTTTGCACACAAACAGAGAATCCAGTGCTCAGGCATCTCCCATGGGGTCCACGGAGTGAGATGGAGTTTGAAAGAGACTCTAGTTCTTGGATAAAGGTAATAAGAAAACATCCAGCCTACTTCCTCCCCTTTTCTGAGGGGCTCCACTGAATCAGCAAGATCATATCCAACTACTAAGAAAATCACTAAGAATATAAATGCATTAGGAATAGAAGAAAAAAAAATAAATAAGGAGAAGGGGAAACAGAAATGCTTCCAAGAAGAAAAAAAAAAAAAAGAAAAAGAAAGAAAAAAAAAAAAAAAAAAAAAAAAACAGGAAGAGAACAAAGCAGTGAACTCTGGAAAGAGAAGATGAAACAAGTGAGCCAGAGTCATGCAGACCTCAGCATTAGTCAGTGTGTTGCTGAGAAACTGAGAATACGTCTGGTCTAACTCCCACTAAGCATGGGTGGTGGGTTTCACAGAAGGAATTACAGTGCGGTGAAAAATGGCATTAGGTTTAAGAATAAATTTTCAAATGGCATTAAAAGGAAGGCCTTGAATCGTCTTTCGAAATGTCATTTTGCCCTTCCTCTCCATATTCCCCACTGCCATCTAAGTTGTTTTTTTTTTTTCTTATTTGAAAGCAAGAGCTGGCTAAGGATCATTAAGCAGTCAATTTGGTGGTGTTTGAGCATGGGCTAAATGTAAGCCTTCACATACTTTTCCTATCCACAGAGCTGAGACTCAGCACTTTCAAGGAAGGGGAAAGATTTATGGATTAGACATCCATGCACGTTCCCACCCGGGTAGCCCCACGCTCCCTCCCAGCCGTGTCTTGGCTCAGACACCTTGGAGAACAGCATCGAGGTAACCATGGTGACAAGGGCCTTAAAATGGTTGTAGTCATGATCATTTAAAACAAACAGCTGCGTAAGTCTGGCCTAATCCTAATGTAATCCTCCCAAGTCTGGCAACCTAAAAATAGAAAGGCAAAAAAAAAAAAAAAAAAAAAAAAAAAAAAAAAAAAAAAAAAAGGCCGTCCACCTACTCAAAATTAGTTCTGCCTCAAACAGCGGAGAATTTGTGCTTTGCAGCTAAATCTAAATTCTGCTTCTCCGTGAGACAGGGCCTTTGTGTCACAAGTTCATTGTTATATTTTTAGACCCAGACACTGAAAGGTGGGGCCCAAATATAAACCTCATTGTACTTTGGCAGCAAACAGGAACCAAATGATACCTTGCAGAGGTCAAGCTCAATTTGAACTCTCTCTGGAAGGCGGGAGATTTTTTATTTGTTTGTTTGCTTTATTTTTCCCAGACATTATAGTTTTTTCATTAGCTTCCTTCACAGGAAGTTTTTAGTAGCTCTTCTTGTGGCTCTTATGCTTGTCATTGTGGAGGGATTCAAAGGCTTTAAGTGACTTTCTGGAAGACCATCAAGATGGGATTAAATAACCATTCTGCTATTTTAGCCTGGGTCTTCTGACCCAAATTCATCCTTTGTGGGTCAAGACATCAATATCCGTGGCTGTACCTTGCCTTTGAGAAAGATGCTTTCACACTTGTCAGAAGTTGCAGTAATAAAAAGGACAGAACTCTATGGTACAGAGACAAATAGAAGAAATCACACAAGGTCTGCATCAGGAGCTTGTGTGCAGGAACCAGCTCCTCCCTCCCACATTCAGGGACTACTGCCATGTCTCTGGATGCCTAAGGAGCTGCACTGGTGAGGGGACACTGAGAAAGGAGATTATTTTTCTGTGCTCTTAGGGTCCCACCGTGCTCTCCCCAATAGCAGTGGATATAAATCAATATTATCATGCACACTGTTTTTGGAATCTGAAGTAGGATCCAAGATGTGGATGGATGTTCCCAAGGTCACACACGATCAGCAGCAGGGCACAGAAGGATATCCTTGCTTCCAAACCGACCTCGGCCCCACCAGCTGAGGAGGCAGCACCAGCATTGTCACTGCACCTTTCGTCTCCCCCACAGGGCTGAACTGAAGAGGAGCACTCAGAGTAATGGAAACAACACCAGGGTTGTAATGGAGGAGTGGGGAGGCTGGGAAAATCTTATCTGGCTTCCCACAACCACTAAGTACTCCTTGCAAAGTGCTGATGGAGGAATTCTGGTACTCCAGTGTTGGGGTAGGGAGCAGAATGAGACAGCACTCAGGTGCAACAGGGAGCCTCACTTTCCATCACCACTGCTATTTGGGTAACACAGCTTACTTTTAACCTTCTTTTTTGTTGTTGTTGTTGACTTTTTTTTTTGTTCTTTATTTTTTTCTGTATAAATTTGTGAGAGAAGGAGCAAAGGGGTGCTGAGGAAACCAAAACTGATTTCAAATCTCTATTTATAAATCTCTAATGTTTATAAATCTCTATTTATAAATCTCTAATGTTGTGTTTTAAAATCTTTCAAGGTAATCATCCTCTTTCTACCTCCCAGGTCTGTTTATGTATTCCTTATGTCCTGAGTATACGAGTGGACCTTCAACTTCCCATCTGTGAAAAACAGCCATCATAATGAGGTGTTGATATGTTTGGAGCGCTACCTGCTACTATAATAGGAATGATTAATAGTGATAGATCATTTTCCACACCCACACAGATAATAGCATCTCTCCTGGGATGGCTGACAATGTAATTGTGGCAGAATGCAGGGAGGCCTGAAACGCATTTCATTAGTTATTGACTGGGGTACTTTGTCTCGTCCTTTAAAAAAAAAAAATAAAAAACCACAACACATACACACAGAAAAACCACCTGACAGGAAAAAGGAAAAGCGTGTGCAGTACTTTTTAAAAATCAGCACACAGGCACAATTAAAGATAACAATGCAGCAGCAAATCAGTGCAACCCATCGGCATTTTCTTGTTCCACCACACACAACAACGTATTTGCCCCAAGAGACATTTTTGGAGGTGCAAAAGTTCACCTGCAGCCTGTTAATTCACTTTGAGACGGGACTGCGATCACTTAATGGACTCTTCTTGTACCGGCTGCTATGGTAACTGCTGCATCACGCTCTCCATAGGCTTGTTTTTGGAGGAGAGTGTAAACTGCAAGAGCAAATCTCAGATGGGTTTGTTACTGGAATCAAAATCCCAGGGCGGATTTGCAATTCTACACATGGTCTTGGCCCACCGAGCACTCCTTTTATGGGCATGTTTGCTCATCTGGCTTAATTTTAAACCCAGTCCTTAAGCATTGTGTGCTCAAAAACACTTCTCAGAATTGAAGTCTTCTGGGTTTGGGCTGGGTTGGAGGCACATGTGGAAAGCTTAAGAAAAAATAAAAAATAAAAGCACAGGAAAAAAAAATAAAAGATGAGACAAATAGAGTGGAGATTGGGTTAAATC